GGCGACGCCGACGAGGCCGAGCTTCGCCCCCGGATCAGATCCTCATCCGACTCGTACATGAACCCCCCGCCCGGGTTCTCCTGGTATTTCCGCACCCGTCGAAGCTCCCAATCGTCGCCGCCTTCCGCTCGCCCTTGTGGCTGGTCACTTATCGGCATCCGGGATCGGATCAATTCGATTTGATCCAAGATCAAACTGTTTTTTTTGTTTGTTTTTTGTTGTTTTTTTGTCACATTAATTCGAATCATGATTGCATAGGTCGAGTTAACTCTTGAGACCAAGGAAATAGATCAAAATATAAACAAGAAAAAAAAAAAAAGGGGGGGGATTGACTCAACTCGCATTCCATTCTTAACTTGAATTCTTTGGCCTGTTTTTCCGAAAGATCGTGGAAGAGGGATTCTTTAAGATTAGTGACCTGATAGAACTGAGATTTCAAGTCATTATCTGAAGACACATCATCACCGATCGTCCGATTCCAAAAAATCGAAAAAAAAAAAAATCAAATCAATTAATCAAGAGTAGTTCTGATTCTTTCCTCAGTGACTACTAGTTCTTTTGGGGCTGTGGGATGCTTACATTCGAGTTTGATTTTGATCCGATTAGCAAACGAAGGTTTAGGAGGCGCTGGCGGCAAGGGACCCTGTATCTCGACCATCGTTGCAGCGGTTTTCTGTTTGTTCTTGATCGAATCGGTTTTGTTTGTTTCGTTTGGTTGATGTTGATGTTGATGTTGATGTTGATGTTGGAAGTGGTGGTCAGTAAAAAATTATGGATCAAAGTGGTTGGTTGCTAAGCTCGCCCAGCTTGTCCCCCGCCCTGGCCCCGGCCCCCGACAACCGAGCCAAGCTCCGAGCTTACATAACTCAGTCCCGGAAGGCGCAGGCGTCAAATCAATTGAGCTCCCTTCTCAAACTGCAGGCTTGCTCACTTCCAACACACAACCCCCATCTTTTCATCATTGCTATGAGAAAATTCATCCTCATCTTCACTACCACATCATTAGAGCAAGCCTTTTTCCCCCTCACACCACCTCCTCATCCTTCATTCCTTCCAACAATCTTTCCAAGTCCAGTGTCTTTTGATCCTCTCAATAAGGTGCTCAGCTGGGTGGTGATGGCCTGATCAGGTTTCAATAGTAATTTGTCCAACACAAACACTTGCATATGTACATGCCACCCCATCAGATCCATTGTCAGTGCTACCAAAAACACCCAAAACATGACTAATTACATTCAACCCTACACCCACCACCCCCCCTCAAGCAAGAACACTGCAACTAAATATTTTAAGCAAATTTAGATGTCCTTTTCTTACTTTTCAAATTACTTACAAGGCTATTATATTTTTGTCCAAAGAAACATTCATGACTCATTATGACTCATTGAATTAAGCTTCTACTTTTCCATAGAATTTGAAAAATTAAGACTTGACAATGTGTGTAAACTTGCATTTAGAATACTTGACTAAACATTTTATCACTTACCTCAAAACACCATGAATTATATTATGAATGAATCAATAGCCCTCTGGATGGGGTATAAGTGGGAAGGCCATATTGAAAAAGGCTCCTGATCTTGGAAAGAAAGCCCCTTGCTGTTTTTCATAATTGTTGATACATCAATATGTCCCCTCTCAGTGTCAGCAAAAAATTGCTTGATTGATTTTTGAATGTTTTGGAAAAGGATTTAACATTCACCCAAAAGGACTCATTTCTCATATGAAATCCCTCTGGATCACACCACTATTCTTGTGACTACTTCCTGTGAAACCAATACTTTGGTTATAAATTCACAAGATTTTGCACTTGACCCTAGTATTAATAAGTATTACATGGTGCATAACTGACCATAATCACCAGTTATTTCTGAGCTCACAAATCATCAAGAAAATGAGCTGGTCATGGAGATCCAGAGAATCTTGAAATGTGCCAGGTATCAAACCTTAATATCACAAATAATTATGCACAAATTATGATGGGAGGAACAGATGATTGCAAAGAACACAGTGTCCAGATATTTTGTATATAAATTAAGCTGCACAGAGGTTGACCACTTGGGATTTGTTCCATGAGGAGTTGAGACTCATCAATATTTGACTTGGAATTATAAACATTAGTGGATTGAATGGCAAACATCAAGTTGAGTAGAAACTATTAGCACAAGGAAATTGTACTCCTGGCCTGAGCCCAAAAGATGTTTCTTAACTCCAAACAGACATTGTACATCAATAGATGAATATTTTCTTTCCCTTGTTTTTTTTTCTTGTCATTATGATCCATGCAATTTCTGCTAATACAACTCACCTCTCGCACAATCAATATCTGGTCCTGGGGATGGTAGTGGCACGCTTTTTCAATAAGGTACATTGAAGATTGACAATGGGGGATAAACTTAAAGGATGTGAGACAAAACCAACAGCTCATTGGTCTAAAGTATCCTAACATGTCTATCCTAACATAGCTGATGAGAGTAAGCTCACACTAAATTCATACGTCATTTGGTTTACATTGTGGTTTGGAAGCGCTGAGCTTCTAAAACACGATTCCTTATAACTTGAATTTATTCTAGTGCAACCATGCAATGCACCTCTTACTGGAATCACGCATAGAAATGGAAAATTGCGCCTGCCAAAATTAGCGGTATGTATGAAAGGAGGAGTAAGAACAAGTAAGTACTGAAAGGCTCCTAGGATTGAGGGAAGCATCCCTCAAACCTAAAAATCAAATGGATCGCAACATGGTGGAATGTCGATGGTTCCGGTCAGTTAGACGAGTGCAAAGAACTCGAAGAGAATCCGATGGAACACAACCTGTGCCAGTGCTGATCAGGCAGAAATGTCTTGGAACTGAAGCACCTGTATAAATGTCTCCCAAAGTTGATAGGCAGATGGGCTCTCATAGACACCGTACATACCAGATCATTTTGTGTTACATAGCTTGTCGCCTGGAAGTTTTCTTATTGCAACTGTCCCATCATTATGGTCTGAAATTTCTATACAGACTTTGTCTCCTGCTGGCAATAGTGTACAAATTCCAAGCTTGTGGTGACGGCGGCAAACATCCTTTGTAGATGCATAGATCACTAAAAAAACACTGAGCAAGCGAGCAGAACTTCCCATCTTGGCATAAAATCGGACTGAGCTACATTAGAATTTCTTCCTAGTCTTCCGGAGACATTCAATGGTATTGTGTATACTATGAATGAGTTTGCTGAGGGGTAGATCAAATTATTTATTAGCTGGATGCAACACGGCCAACACCCAACCAAAACTATCGAGGGCAAGTCGTGCTCTTAATTTATTGATTCCCCTTGTTCTTATCAATTGCCTTTCTCCGATGCTCAACCGCCGTGGATAACATCTTCTCGACACAAAGGCGAGTCTACTGTTCTGCTGCTGAACTTGCTGAACCTTTCGACTCTGCGGTGCAAGTCCAGGCGGTAGCTTGTGCTGCTAGGAAAGAGAAGCAGCAGGCTCAGCAGACCGCTTCATTATATAAACC